CTGCTTTGGCGCATCTTGGAGTGGTGTTCCGGGTGGTGTAAGTCAGGTATGGGTCATTGTCTGTTTGTGCCCCCTATCTGTGCTTCTGTGCTTGTTGTTTGCCATGACTGACGGGGTGCCTTGTGGCGAGTAGCTTCGTTTCTCATCTTTCCCAGAGTATTCGTCAGTGGTGCTGGCAAAGGGGCAGGGTGAGGGAATATGTGATATTGCCTACTTACCCTAAGGTGAATATCATGCGGCAACGGGAGGAATCCGTTGAATATAGCACTCAGGGATCACAAGAGAATGACTCGTAAGCTGAACTGCGGGATGGATGAAGCGTTCGGATGACTCGCAGAAGCAGTTGGATGAAAAGGAGCAAGAAAGAAAGAGATGGAAAAAATAACAGCAAACATACTGGATAAGGTAGGCAGGCACGGGGTGCTTCAGATACACATCACCAACAAGGAAGGCGCGTGCGCACGGACCACCGTCAACCACTCCGACTTTCCATTCTTTCAATACCTCAACCCCGGATATCAGGACCCAATCAGAACTGTGCGCGATTAAGACGCTGCCGTCGACAATATCTTTGGAATTTCAGAACTCGATTTCATGCACTGGCCACTAGCCACCGGCCACTCGTTGCATCGGGTAAGGGTTCTCCAGCCGGACACAGAGGAGTCGCCGGCCCCACATGTGCCGAACGGTCCCGTGTAAACCACATCGTCGCCCGATCATGGCACTAGAAGTCTAGCCGTTTAGGACAATGTGCAAAGCACCCACAAGATATTGTACGCGGTGAGCAGTCGGTACATTCGCATCTACAACACTCATACCCTCACAATCGTCAATAACGCGTCGCTGGAAGATTCGCAGATGCCGTAACAGCCACACCGTGGTGCAGCTTTCATATACTGTTGATACATACGACTAATAATGTACAGCAATGGCTCTTTGTCCATCATGAGCCCTGGCAACCTGCACTCCTCGCTCAGAAAAATATCCTCCGAAACGCCGTCGGAGTGGCCTCCCTAAAATTCAACGCCGTGCCTCGCATCTGGGACCTCATCTCAAGCTTTAACCCCCCTAGCATTAATCTCGCCCTTCTCCCCAATATTCAGACGAAGGCGACAGTCGGGGCAGTACCACTTTGTCGTCCGCGCAGGAATATGGGTCATACCCATGCACTCTAGATGGAACCATTCCTTATCGCAATTCTTTTCAACGCAGAAAAGAACAAGTGTCAGCGTAATCCTGGACCTCGAGCTTTACGAAGGATACTTACTTCATTGTCGCACGCAATCATCTCGCCAAAGCTGACTCTGTTGCAGTCGCAGTATCGTGGCTCTTTCGGGTCGATTGGGTTACCTTCGTCGTCTTCTTCCAACTCGATCTCGATCGGCTGGCCCTTTTCCTTTTTCTGAGCGCGTTTCTTCTTGGGAGCCGCTTTTCGCTTACCCACGGCACTGCTGCCTCCAGCGTTGGTCTTGCTGACGATACCAGGCACAGGCTTTCTAGTCCTCTTGCTCTGCTGTCGCTGCTCGGGAGCTGGCGTATTCCGCGCGGTACTAGCGCGACGGGGTCGGTCAGTTGCTAGCGAAGGCTGTGGCTCTTGACTCATAGCTTTTCCTCGCGAGCTAGGACGTCTCCCTTGGCCGTCGGGCACCGGTGTAGTGCCTGGTGTCGCCGCACGCGAGCTTGATTGTTTGATCGAAGGCGCTGCAGATGACGAGCGCTGTGCTTGCGGAACCTGCGACGCCGGCACTGGTGTGGGGTTGTCCAGTTGCTGCTGATTCTTCTTTGCCATATCGCCCCTTGTTTCCCTTCGAGCTGCAGAGTCACGGACCGGAGGAAGGATGGGCGTGGTGGACTTCTTGGGGGACAAGATGGGTGGCGGTATTGGCGTCTCCGCGGGTAGCTTGGTCAGTATACTTGCCGGAGCAGTGCTTGCGACTGACGCCGGGGGCCCAACCGAACCAGTCGGCGAAGAGGCCGGCGCGGAAGTGTTCGCTGGCTTCGCAGCCGCAGGGCCAGTGCCTGTGGTCGCCGAGCCATCTTGTCCGGGAACAGGAATCGGCACTGGGGTTGTCATCTTGGGAGTGACCGCAGTACCGCCTGGTGTAAGAACAGGAGGTGGTATAGTAGACTCTGTTAGAGGTTGCGCAGCGAGACTGGCTCTTAGATGAGGAAGCGGGACTGGGGTCTCCGTCTTGGTGCGTTTTGGAGCGGGACGAGGCGCTGGTGTCTCAACTGGCGGCTGCTCAGGCTTCTCGGCCTCAGCCTCTGGGATAGAATCTCTCTTCCGCTTGTTGCCGTTGGGTTTTGGCTTCGCTGGAGTCTTCGCTTTGCTTGCGCCTTTCGGCTGTTCTGCAGCTGTGTTGGTTGTAGTATTATTTGCAGTAGAAGGCGTGGTAGTATTGTTGTTGGTAGCGGTGGTGGTGGTGGTGTTTGTGTTGTTCGCGGCCGATGATGACGATGCTTCGTGAGACATCAAAAGTCTTGCAGCTTCCCTAAACTGTCTGGCTGATTCTTCCGCCTCTTCTGCAGCCTGTTTAGCCAGCGACTCTCGCTTAAGCTTCTTGGCCTCGTTGAGCTTCATGCCCCGATTGCTCAGCTGGATATCATCGGACGCAAGCGCAGCGGCGCTAATGGCACCTTCCGGGATTGGTTTGTTACCGGCTTCAGCATCAGGGGCCAGAGCCGCAGGCACCTGGTCAAAGACTCTGCCCTCGTCTTCAGCCTTCTTTTTTGCCTCCTTGTAGGCATCAATGCCACGGCCGAGCGTCTTGAGTTCTCGCAAAATCATAGTATCACTAGGGCTCCATGTTGCATTCTTCTTCATCCGCTTTCTAAGCCTCGCAAGTTCCCATGGCGTCAACTGCAACCAGGGGGCATCCGCGCTTCCTATCACGGCGTTCTCTGGCGGAGGTTGCAGCACAACAGCGGGAGTTGCCGCAGCAGCCAGGCCCGCAGCAGATTTGGGAGGTCGCGCTGAGGACGCAGCCTTTGGGGTCTTTGGTGGCCTCGCCTTGGGGGTCTTGACAACTTTGATACGCGGTGCTGGTGTCGTCCGAGCTGGCGTGCGCCCCAAAGATTCGTCATCTTCCTCTTCAGAGCTCTCATCGCTGTCGTCCGAGTACGCCACAAACTGGTCGTATGGCGGTAGCACTTCGCCAGGCACAGTAATCCTGGGTATCCGTGGCCTTCGAACCTTCTCGCCATCTCCATTTCGCATCACCCGCGGCGCTCTGACAAGCTGAGATTTGGAGGTCGCCACGGGGCTCTTTTGTTCTTCTGCCGGATAATTTTCCAGCAGGTTCTTCAACTTGGCTAGTATCGTGTTTGCGCGATTATAGTGACGGTTGACGTTCTCGGACATGCGAACTGCCTCGGCATGCGCGTAAACCCGGGAGCTGACTGCATGGTTCAGGCTGTCGGAAATATCTGCGCGCAACTGTACGGGAGATGGGCGCTCCTCAGCGGGAATACTGGGTAGCTTTCCCCAGGTCGAGGTGAGGTTGTGAACGTTGATTGACGCTTCGGTGTATGTTTGGTCGAGCTTGCCGATCAGAGTTAATGATCGCGTCATATCGGAAGGAAGGTATTCGGTAAAGTCAAGGAAGTCGGTGACGGTAGCTTGCGCGTCTGGATCGGCGCGCATCTCGAGTGACTCGACAGAGTTGCTGATGGAACCGAGCGACTGGTGTATATCGTGTTCGACCGAGGTCCTGTTTTTGGGCGACACTTCAATGTCCATGGCGTCTGCGCCCTCCTCGGTAGAGGCCATTTCGTCGGAAGGGGTGCAATGAGAGTATATTCCGTCGGCCTGAAAAGCGGCGCATCAATCACTATGGATGCATTTGACACCGGAGAATCGATGGTGGCTGTTGGGCGTGTTGCGAAGTACAGTTGCGCATGCTTGTGATGAGGTTGCGGGTCGCGTATGCAAGGGGAGTCGCGACCTGATGTGATGTTCGGTTTAGCTCTGTGAGCTCCCTACCGCTAGGGACCTTGGGGGCAGCTGCGATGGGGTGGCGGGGCTTCCAACGTCCACTGACAGATGCGCTGGCCAGATTGGTACACCTCAAGTCCGTGCACGGCTGGAGGCATGTCTGTCGCGGATTATTCAACTTCCGAATACGCGAGAGACATTGGGTACGTACCTTTGTTTTGCCTTCAGTCTCCTATCCCATCAAGTGCTAGGTATGAGAAGCTGGCACCCACACCCACTGCACGCTCTTCTTGCCGGACTCAGTTGTCTTGGATACCTCCTCAAAGAATGCCCTCTTGATCGTGGTCTCCAAATCTACCCTACCAGGGATATAGTTACGAACAAAAGGTATTAAGTATAATAAACCTCTCACCTCTTCCCACGTCCGCGGGGGCTACTCTTTAAACTATTACTTCTACACGACGAACTTGTTCCGATGTCGGCCTAAAGGACGAATCTTGCCAGCGCATATCTCAGATACCTTTGAAGGGGGTAGTATATCTGTCTACAGTCTTTCTGTAACTTCCACTAAACTTCAAAATTATTCATGAGCGAATACAAAGGGAACAGTTTCGGATTAATGTATAGCTTGTTACGACCTTTCGAGAAAGTACGTAGGTGTATGTTGATACCCATTTAGCAGGTGATGGGATACCACTTGCTAGCACCTAACTGGCCTGGCCTGGCACTTAGCATGGCTGGCACTCACAGGGAAGCATCCAATACATGTAACGCCTTTCGCGACTACTGTCTTCTAGGTACCCATCGTATCTATAAAATCTCTTGTGTTCTTCCGATACCATTCCTCAGGATGTACCATTCCCTGGAGAGCTGGGATTTCCGCTTCGAAGAAACGGCGCTGGCTTTGATTGTCATACCAACTATAAAGATGAATCGCTAACAACGGCTTGAGATTTAAATACGCAGCATAGTCTATTAGCTCTCATCGTACCATGTCCAAATCAAAGGATCTGTCCAAGTCAATCGAAAGTAAGACCATGTCGGCTGGCATCAAAGTCAACCGCGTTCAGACAAACTTGGCATCCATCTGTTGGTAGATCCCCAGTACTCTTTTCCATTTCAACCCGCTGGATCTCGAAAAGGCATGCTTGGTCTGAGGCTGCGCGTCGTCTGCAGTCGCGCCAACTCTGGATTGCAATCTATCGATTTGCTCACAGACCAGATGCTCCTTTTGGGGGTCTGGGGTATGGCCGATAACTCTCAAATTCGTTCCCCTTCGAAAGTCGAGGCACACCAAGGCGTACCCTTTAGCCGTGACAACCTTCAACATCGTCAAACCGCTGATCAAGAGCGTCGACGAACTGATGGGTTTATCGATCGAGAACCCTTCAGTAGATCTTCTGAGGAAAGCTGAGTTGTAAGGGCCGCGGATGTTCAGTACGCTTCCCCGCCGTTCATCATGTAACAACTTAGCGATGATGAGCTGGCCGTCTATCCTAGTGATTGACTGTAATTCAGATACAGAGCAACAGCGGACCCGTCTCCGGAGGAAGTCGTTCCAGGTCCACTCCTTTACCTTCATGCTCTTGCCGACCAAGACGATAAAAGCAGCTACAACCCACAGGTAGGTCGCTAGGTTCGAAGGATCAACACCGTTGATACGCTCGCCGACGCTGAAGCCGATGCCCAAGCCGCCAGCTGCAAATAACACGGCCGTGAATATTACGCCCCAAACGTATCCTGGGCATGGCACCGTTACGCACATCTCATCAACAACCCACTCATCCATGTACTCCGTTAGCTTGTTAAGCTCATTGAGCTGATGCATCGCATCTTGCTGTGCTTTCGTCGTGGATTGTGCGGCCGGGGGAGGAGAACGCGAACTCTCCACTAATTTGGACCGTGAAAAAAAGCCACAAGCCAGAGCTTCTGAAAGATGAAGAACGTCTGGTCTCCTCATTTTGTCGAATTGGCTCGTCTGCATACGGAAGAAAGCCCCGAATTGTCCTTCTGCGAGCGGTTGGACGTCATCTTGGATAAAGCCTGCCAGGGCTATGAGATGTCGGAAGCCGGTGAAATTCGCCAGGAAGCTCGGGCAGGTCATGGCCAGTGGTACCATCACAGTGATGACTTCGTCCATGGAGTTGAGCCGCAGACATTGGCTAGGGCCTGCGAGATCGATGTTGATGGGATCACACCGGCTGTTTTCAGACCCACAATACATCCATTGCAATGTGGTATTCAGGCCGTCGGGGTACCCCTGACTGCGACTTGTATGCTTAAGATGCATGACTATCTGGTTGAGGATGTTGAATGCTGAGTGTGCAGTGTTCATATTATCAAGGTCTGATGTTGCCGAGTACTCAAGATCTCTATCTTGAAAAAGGAGAGCCTGCAGAAGACAGTTCAGAACACAGAAAGCAGGGCAAGTTCTGGTGAGTACTGTACGTACCTTAAAACCTTCAAAGCCTGTCTCATAAGCCACAGCACAGATTTCGAACGCCGTTGCTGGTAGGCCAGAACGGTTGATGAATCTCAAGGACATCAACACATGCCTCAGGGCTGAGTTGAGACCAAACCGAAACTTATTCTGCTCGACACAATGGGCCGCTACTTGCTTTTCCTCGAAGGACGCGGTTCCCTCCTTCTCGTTAGCCTCAACCATTCGCATATACTCTTCGCACTCCTCTTCCTCGTCCATCTCGCCGTCTCCAAATCGCGTATCCCCTGAGTCGCGCAGGTTGGACAGGACGGCCTCTGCTGCCCCAACGGCAATCGCGGAGTTCGCATGTAGATCAAGCAACAACAACTTGATCTTGGTAATTCTCTTGATGAGAACACTTAGAACATTTGTTTGCCAGTAAGTACCCGGCGAGGTTTGAACGACCAATCTCGTCAAGACTGCTGATATGTAGTTGATCAGCTCGTAAGTGGCTGCTAAGCTGGAGAATGCTTCTTGCTGGGCTCCGGAGTCACCCATGTTTGCAACGCTCTCTGCAGCACACTGACCCTTGGAGACTTGTTTGATGAAACTGGAGAGCCGTTTATGATTCGACAGTTGGCCACAGTGTTGTGCGTTGATGCATTCGTTGTCGAGAAGGCAAATCGTGATAGCTGTCAAGACTTTCTGGCATAATCTGGACATGTCTCGGTAGCCCTTCTCCGTATCTCCTTGGAAGAATTCCTTGTTCGAAAACTCAAGTGGCGTGCTCGGAGATTCAGCAATCTTCATCAATCGCACTGTTTCGGCATGCCAAAGGTTCTTGAGAACGTCTTCGGACAGGACATATAATCCAGCGGCGTCGAACTCGGGATATTTGGCCGCACCCTCCGTTCGGGGCAGAACCCCATTCAAAACTTCATCGAAGTCGCATTGAGCTGGCTCACCCCTAGGTTTAGGATAATCTTGGGAGTCGATTGAACCCTTTTCGCAAGATGGGTCAACCGGTTGACGCCGAAGTCGACGGAAAAGATGCTTGGTCTTATTGACGGCTGACCCTGTTCTGGTACGGCTCGGAAGCTTAAGGGGCTCGAGGTTCGACCCCGACCGAACTGGTACAAAGCTTTTTGGCAAAGATTCTGGTTGATTGGGAGGGTTCCGAGGACTGGATGTCACGCAAGACTGGCCTTCGACACCAGACTTTTCCTCCATATCTCCGCCGAGAGTCACTGACGCTGAAGACATGATGATGGCTTCACGGCAGCTGGCATAATCCTCAGACTAATAGGCGTGATATCGGTATGGCGCAGCAACCCTGTTTAGAGATGAGTGCAAACAATAGTCGAGGAAACCGAGAAGGCTCAGTATGAGAGTGCCCTCTTAAGTCTGCACACACCAGCCAGGGCTAACTGTACTACCGCGGGGCTCTTCACTTTCCAACGACAAACATCCGATTACCATATCGGTACCGCACCATTTCTGTGTCTTTCTTCTGGGCCGTCGGACCAAACCGAGTAGAGGCTCCCAAGGCGGATCAGGCGAACTACTTTCAATTGGGCGGCAAGGCGATAATGGTGGCTGAACGCCGCTGCGGCTGATTCACTTGCAGGAGAACCCCAGCCCGCACACAAGTTGAGGTTTGTGGCCGCCTATTGGCTAGATATCATTGCTGCCTGACGCAGAGTGGGTGAGGGCGCTGACCAAGTAGGCAGGCTGTACAGGGCGGGAGCTTTGCCTCACCGTCGCCTGAACTGAACTCTGAAAGGATATCTTACAACGCCCCTCCTCGAAGGCTTGCGAGGGAAACTTCGAAGTTTGGAGATAGGACAGAGTAGAAATGACTCGAAATATTGCTAAGCTATGCGACCTCGGCGTTTACATTACGGCGCTGGGGATGTACAATCACTCGACCGACGAATCTGTTCCTCCTCCAGTAATCGGCGGCCACTTCGAGATACCGGAAACGGACCGAGTATCAAATCTGACGAACCAGCAACCATGTATCAACAAGGATGAACATCCAGATGAGCATGAAGCTACTATCTGCGATGAGGCCGAACAACATGAATCTGTGCAAGAAGCTAATCACCATCTGCAGCCTACATATGAGATACTTGCAGATATCTCGGATGCATCTTCGTGTAACTCTCTAACTGACTGCCGAAGTCGGCGGATTACTTCAAGCCGTCGCCTACATTCAGGGAGGCCCACGGGGAGCAATAGCGATAGTGACGATGACGAGGACGGTAACGACAATAGGGAGCAAAGTCATGTCTACGACAGCGATTTGGATTCGACTGTGCGTAGTACAGGCCAAAACAGTCACGCTCGGAAGATGCGAAAGTGGAAGAGCCTAGCCAAAGGAAGGTTCCAGAGGATGCTTCTCGAATGCATTGTCAATACAGGTCTGAACCTAAATATCCTGCAATGCTTCCTATATTACTCACACTATGCCCCAGACAATATTCCACCAAACTACCGAGACATCTTTATTGACCCCTCGATCATCAATAAGCTTGAGCAAGTGACTTCATTATCGCTCTCACGGCCACAGGCGTTCTCTTGCGGTGTGCTGAAAGGCAATAAAGTCACGGGCTCTATTCTCTATGGGCCCCCGGGCACGGGTAAAAGTATGTTGGCTAGAGGTATAGCCAAACAGTCAGACTTCAACATGCTCTCTATATCAACCTCGGAAGTCTGGCAAAAGTGTCACGGAGAGGACGAGAAGATGATAAAGGCAATCTTTTCTCTGGCCCGAAAACTATACCCCTGCATAGTTTTTATTGACGAGGCGGATGCAATGCTTGGTACGCGCAAAGCTGGCGAGAAGAGACACATCAGGTCGATGCTGAACCAGTTTCTCATGGAATGGGACGGCCTTACTACGGACACGAAGGCTCCCTTTGTCTTGCTTGCTACTAATAGGCCGTTTGACTTGGACCCGGCCGTTCTTCGACGTGCACCCGTGCAGATACACCTCAAAGTTCCGACGCAGAACGAGAGAGCCGGGATCCTGGGCTTGCTACTGGAGGGCGAGACGTTGCAGCAAATCAACCCAAATTTAATTGCAAGACTGACTCCGAATTACACTGGATCGGATCTCAAGAATCTTTGCGTCATGGCTGCTACCAACTGTGTAAATTCGCAGCCGAGGGACACGACCGAGCGTGTCTTGACGAGGGCACACTTCTCCTCAGCCCTTCAAACGATCTCTGCAACCAACATAGGAAGATTAAGTGCGAACGAATTCAAAAAGTTTGAGGGGCGATTGGAAGAAAACGTTGAGGGTTCGCCAAGAGAAGAAGACGAAGATTAGATCAGACTACAGCTATGCCTTGCCACCAACATTACTTCCGAAATATTAGGAATAGGCACATTGGTTGAAACCTTTGCACGATCTACTATCGCTATTAGCATGGGCCTTAATTATTAAGCCCTTGTTGCAATAATGGAGCAGATCGTGCTTAGATCGTGCTTACATTCTGTATTAGACTTATATGCAAATAAAACCAGGCATGGAGTAAGAACTTTGTCAACTCCGTGATGATAAGCAGTTCAGTTGGGCATTGGCGGAGGTTTTCTCCCTGCCTCTACATACGCCTCTGCCAATGAGAATCACAGAGGTCTCCGTTGGGCAACTTTCAAGCTGCGGCTTTTTGGGCGTAAACCCCTAACGTGATACTTGCTTACGCGAGATAAGTCAAGCTGACATGGCTGTCGGCTGAGGCTGTAATCAATGCTTTAGGCAATCTGCATGGGACTGTGTCTCATCGACCGCCTGCGTGTGTCTGTTTCTTATCGAAAGCTTGCCTGCAGCTGCGCCCCTCTGGAAATCTGCCTGCGGCTGTGCCGTTGGTTGCCTCATTTTCTGCTTGTCCTGTCAAATGAGGAAGCAGAATCAATTGCGACCTGTTGTCATTGTAAGTGGAACACGCACTACCGTCAAAAGCTCAATTAGTCGCGCCTTAACTGGGCAATGGATGCTACAACATCCATCTTAGCTCTATTTCCCCAACTTCAACATGAGATCGGACGACGATGAGGCGGAAACCGGCCGTCAGGCGCCAAATGAGGGCCTCAAGAACGAGAATATATCGTCAGGCAGTGAAAATCCCGTCCAAACGATTGATACAGACCTTCATGACTCAGAAAAGGAGAATACTCATGAAAACCAAAATCACAGCCAGCATGCCGCGGTCATACCCACTATAGCCTATCAGAGCGACAACGATGAAAAGTCTCTCGAAAACATCGTGGAGATCAAGAGGGAAACACCTTGCAACTGCCACATGTCTATCGAAAATGCCGCAGAGAACGCCACAGGCCAGGAACAAGAGGACGACACTGCCGGGAACACCTCGAAAACGGAGAAGTCTCAAGATTCAGATGGCACACAGCATATCCGTGGGACACAAAAGAGAAAAGCTCAATCTAAAAAGTCTCTTAAACAGTCACGCGCCGCACTGAGATCTTTGCCATTCCACAGCAGTCACAGGAAGGTTCCTGCCAACGATAGCGGCAGTGAATCAGAAGAACAATATGGCACGAGACCCCAAAGAGTTGACAATGCGTCCTTATGGGCCCAGCACGTGGTCAGCGAAGTGATGCCAGAGGATGTCGACGATAAGTCGCCATCAAGGCTAGAATGGCTGAGACAAAAACGTGAAGACGACGAAAGGAACCCATACCTTGATCGAATCATGTCTATGGTTGGTCTGGAGAACATGAAGGCTCATTTTCTTGCTGTCAAGGCCAGAGTCAAGGAGAGTCAGGTAGATGACCCTTGTCTAGCGAAGTTCCGCCTGGCGAAGTTGCGACTTCATCTAGTTCTCCATGGGAAGGATGGGACAGGTAAGTCCTCTTTTGAGGTGGGGAAATGTACCACTAAACTTTTCATACAGGCAAGAAATCCATAGCCAAACTCTACGCACGATTCCTCCATTCCATAGGAGCTGTGAACGGTCGAAATTTTTTCAGAACATCCGACCCGGAGTACAGACCCGCCTACCATATGTCCATGGCACGCAAGCGCCCCAGATTACGCAAGTCTCCGACAGTAGGTGACTATCATGGCCACGCGCTGTTTGGTACTGACGGTTGATAGATTGTGTTTTACGACGAGAACATGGAGAATGGAGATTCCTCAGACAGCAGCGACTCTGATTCGTACGATAGTGATAGTAGCGACTCTCGTGGTGCCTCCCGTGCCCAAAGATCGCGTATTGTCAAGAGTCTTTTGGAGACTGCGGCGGTGTCTACTTTGATTATCTCGACGCGAAACAAGTCTCTACTTGAATCTATGGAAGACAATGAGAAGGCCTTAGAGGCTTTCCAAAGCCCATTAGTTCTTCCAGACTACAATGAAGAGGAGCTGATGCTGATCGCTTTGCGCATGATACAGAAAAGGGGCATGTTAATCGAAGGGGGGTCCGAAGACCCTGGCCTCTGTGCCTTGGTACGACGAGTGGCCCGCAAGCGGAATTCGACTTCATTCTCAAACGTTCATCACCTCGAGAAAGAACTCAATGATGTGCGCAGAAGGAAAGCTCTCCGACTGCAACAAGCACACGCCCAATGGTTTACACAGGGTTCGACTGGAAGTCCTCTCACAGGGTATCTTCCGGGCCAACCTAGGCAGAATGAGAGAGAGACCGACGACCAGAAAAGCCTCTTCACCTCAGCTGATTTCCTGGGCCCGGATCCGAAAGATCTGAGAAACGAGAACGAGTCGTGGAAGAAGCTTCAGGATATGATTGGGCTGGAAAAGGTCAAGAGAGAATGTGGCGACATCATCGACTTTGCCCAGACCAACTACCGCCGTGAGCTTCTAGGGATGAGGCCCATTGAGATTGGCCTCAACAGGCTATTTCTTGGACCTCCTGGAGTAGGCAAAACGACTGTCGCGCAGCTATACGGCCAGATTGTCACTGACCTTGGGCTCGTTTCCGGAAAGGAGATTATGTTGAGAAACCCATCTCACTTGATCGGCGAATACATAGGAGAATCTGAAAGGATGACCAAGGACATTCTTGAGGAAGCTGAAGGCAACGTGTTGATTATCGACGATGCACACATGCTTTATCCTGGCGAACAAGACGCTGGCCACAAGACAGATATTTATCGAATCGCCGTCCTCGATACCATCGTCGCGAATGTTTCGGCGAAACCAGAGGATAGATGCATCATACTTGTAGGTTACGAGTCTCAGATGATACAGCTATTCAACAACGGTAATCCTGGGCTCCAGAGACGATTTCCCAAGGAGACTGCGCTGCGCTTCGACACGTACAGCGAGGATGAACTGTGCGGGATCATGGATCTGAAAGTGGTTGAATCTGGCCTCGACATGACAAGGGATGCTGCAGCAGTGTCTCGACAAGTCTTGAGTCGTATGCGCATTAACCCGAAATTCGGGAATGCGGGAGATGTTGAGAATCTACTTTACCAAGCGAAAGTCCGGATCAATGCTCGAATCAGATTCGCAGACCACAAATCAGAATCTTTACAATTTGCCATAGAGCCTGGCGACATAGACCCGGATTGGGACCGGGCATTGCAAGCTGACGGAAATCGTGCCAAGCTCTTTGAAGGTTTCGTCGGATTTCAAAAGATCATTGAGCAGTTCGAAGGCTACAAGAACCTAGTCGACGGTATGCGACTTTGGGACATTGATCCCAGACCCCATGTCCCATGGGCCTTCGTCTTCAAGGGTCCACCAGGTACGGGGAAAACGGCGACTGCTCGGAAAGTAGGGCGCTTATACTTCGACATGGGCCTGCTATCCACAGACGAGGTCGTGGTCTGTTCAGTCAGTGATCTTGTTGGAAAGTACTTTGAGGGGGCCGCGTCGAAAGTTCGCAGCACCCTTGAGACTGGTCTTGGCAAGGTCTTGTTCATTGACGAAGCATATCGCCTGGCAAACGGTTCCGTATTACATGCAGAGGCTATCGGCGAGCTAGTCGACGCAATGACCCAGTTGCGCTATCGAAATAACATGGTCATCATACTGGCCGGATACACCGCTGAGATGGAATACCTTTTACGAATCAATCCTGGATTGCGTAGTAGATTCCCGGAACACATCACATTCCAAGCCATGAACTCTCACGCGTGTCTCAAGCATCTGAGGCAAGAGGTCCAGAAGATCAAGATCGACATCGTGGTAGTGAAAGGTTCAAACGGTGAGAGGCTGGAGACAGTCTACCGTCTATTCAGAAAGCTCGGCCAAACGAGAGGATGGGCTAGTGGCCGTGACGTTGAGACTCTTGCTAAAACCCTCATCGGCAATGCGTATAAGCGGGCGGGAAGGACAGAGAAGAGAATGAACACGGGCTCGCTGCAAGTCACTCTAGACGAACTTATCGAAGCTCAGAAGGGGATGCTGGCGGAGCGTTTAGGACGAGGAGGCGACGAGGCGGAGGATTAGATTGTAGACGTAGTAATGTCAATTTACGAAACGAACCAGATTTAGCCCAAAGGCAAGTCGTAAACATCATTGCGCGACTGCAAACGGGGTCAATGAGGCCGAAGACCTTTTCGTCAAGGGTAGTGGCATCGCCAGCCTACTCGAGCGCATGTCGCAATGCAGTCACATCTCGGTTTCTGCCCCTCATTGTGGCCATGTAAGTGGGTAACAGGTTGGCATGTCGGCCAATGCTTCAACATACTAAGGTACTTCCATCGCCTCTTACGCTATCACTGGCATCTTACATGTAATCGCTTCTTCTACTTCTCAACATATATTCCTTATAGATTGCAAAGAAGGGAGAAGAGAAAGATATATCAACAATGATAGTAATCATAATCATAGAGATACAAACAAATTCTGTCACCCACTCGCTGTGATTCTAGCACACGGTCCACAGGTCAAAATAGGGTTTCACAACGGTCAAGAGGGAGTCTGGTGTCTTCATTGGCGCGCAAGCACGAGCAGAAAAGTTTAATCGTCAAAATTCCATTCCGGATCTGCATTTCTATAATTAGAAGAATGCCTCTCAAGCTGTATTCCCACCAATGCCGCCATTCCGTGTCAACTCCAGTACCAAACGCCGTCTCATAAAACACCCAACGACAAGCTAACACCCTGACATCCGACCCACCGTTTGGAGGCATCTGAGGCCTCTCAACCAGCTCTCAGGCCGACCTCATTGCATCCGTTTCTGTAACTGCATTAAGCATCACAGTCTCACCAACTCGTATCTTCCTCGCGACTTATAATCGCGCCCCAAATCTTCTCTTCTTCTTCAACGTGATACCCAGAATTCGGACCCACGATTGTGAGGGACCCATACAGAAGCATTTTCTTGCATTTCCTGCAACATCATGTCAAAACTAAAGGCTTCTGAGAGAGAGATGGACCAACTTACAAGAACCCATGTATCGTCGTGTTCCCGTATATCTCGAGGTCATTTACTTCACACGTTCCCATGACCCTCAACTTTCCGAAACCTTTGACCTTATCACTGCCATTGCATGTATCAGCGCCGTCTTCTCTCGATTATTGCGGCATATTCAAACACAAACTTACCCGACAGACATGTACCCCACCACTGAAATATTGCCATATGCTTTCATCTTCCCACTATTCACGCCATGATATCAGCATACGGCCCATGTCTGCGTATGTTTATTCTCCAAAAAGGATAAAGGTACTCACTCGCAAACCAAATTCCCATTGACATCGACCGTCCCGTACGCCTCAACCTTATCCCTCACATCAAAGTCCCCGTTCAGCGTGATGTTGCCCCCGGCTTTCACAGAACCAGCGACCTCGAGCGGGCCCTGTAACACGATCTCGCCCTCGCTCCGGATCGACTTGGACTGGACGACAGCCGTAGTCGTCCCCGCTGCCGCCGCCGCACCGGGCGTCTCGTCATACTCCGTCAGAGGACTAGGTCCGGTCGTAGCCGTGGTCGACGAGGAGGCATAGTAACTACCCGTCGTGCCAGCGGGAGAAACCTCATCGTAGTACTCGTATTGAGCGGCCGTAGTAGCAGCAGCAGCGGCTTCCTTGCCCTTCCTCGACGACTGCTTGGACTTGGGAGCCATCGGTCCGTCTTATATCTCAGTGAAAAGGGACTCTAAAAAGCCCGGAAAGATGACTGTGAATGGTCTCCACTGAGGGGGATATGTGAAAATAACTCTAAAAGCTCGGCGGTAACATACCAAATGCCATGTACACCCGGGAGGAAAATGGGCGGTCCGTTGAAGATCATATATCGACAAAACAGCAAAAAGCTGCCCCGACTTCTCCATACCTACCTTACCTCTCCAACTGGATCAACCACCACCATGCATCGTCCGCCCGGCACGCTGGGCAGAATGCCCACCGGAGACAAGCAAAGAAACGAGACCAGCCTCAGCCGCTCCATGAACAAAAATCGAAACATCACTTTCCCAATCAAGAGTCCGACCGGAACAAGCTGAAGGAAAACTGCAAGTATGAGTTCCTGCCCCCCGGTCCACCACCGTCACTCAAAGATGAAAATTGCGGACGATACGAGAGTCTGCGACGATATTCCCCCGCGGTGTGCCTGAACACCCACTTCCCTCCTCCTTTTCGCCCTACATAGAATAGGTCGGCAAACTCCATCTCCCGTGTCTCCCACCTACCCCCTGCTCAAAAAGTGATATAATCCCAAGAGCTGATCTACTGATCGTCGTTTTCCCGGTAAATCCCCAGTCCCGGAGTTACCACCCCCCCCCCAATCCCAAAAGCCCAACCCCCCACACCCATGACCCGAACAGCCGCGTCAAGTTCGCACGGCATAGTAGTCAGGTAGGTAGGTGCAATATTTCCCAAATCTCTTTTGACGTCGACGTCCTGGCGCGGCAGCCTAAACCCCGTCCATTACCCAGCTGTCCCAGCACACACAATGTCGATGATTCATTTCCTGTTTGCCCCCAGCTGGGCCAGCCGCCAGCTTCCAGCTCCAGCCGCAATGCTACGGTACATGGGAGTGGCCCCCTACGCGCAACGACAAAGATCTGACCCTTTGCCTGCCGCCCTGCCGCCGCCCTGCGTCCGGGCAACAGAGCAAATCCGACCGCGAGCCCTGATCTACCTTACCCCAGGCGCGGCGCGCAGCGGCAGCGGCAGCAGCAGTCTCAATGGCACGTACAAAATCCACGTTACGTGCAGATAGGTACAATGTGCCGCGGGCGAGCATGCAAGCAAATACGCAAGGTGGCCGAGTAAAAAAAGGCAAGAAAAAAAACAAGACTTCAGTCAATGTCTCACTGTCTCAGTTGAATCCCGCAGGCCCGTCACCCGTTTTGCCCGCCCGTCCCCCTCACTCCTCCACCCCGATAAAGAAAAAAGCAAAAACGAAAAAGTGACCGAAAACTGCCTTGGGAACGAGTACTCCGTACCCATGATCCATCCCATCTTGGTAGGTATCCCAAGGAGAACAAGAGGCGACATAAACCCTGGTCGATAATCCTCTCGGTATGGTTCGCCAAACCCAACTAGCCCATAGCCCCAGCGCAAATCATCTCAATCAGGAAAAATCCGGACAGAGGTGGTCATGGATGTCATGGGATGAAGTCTCTACGCAGTAAGCCCAAGCTCCGAGCAAGAGGATATTCACGTCAAGTTCCACCACCGACACCGTGACACCTCAATCCAGGAACCTGGAAACCCTCCTTTATTATCCACCCTGCCTGCGCCTGCACCTGCAACTACAACCCCTGCGCCTGCATCTTGCGCCGCACTCTGCTCGAGGCTTGCATATTATTTGTCCGCCTCACTTAAGACAGATCTTTACAACTGTCAATGTTGCCATGTCCTGGAACTCATGTTCCCCCCGAATGATCCGTAGCCCAGCAAGTGGGTGACATGATCGTTTGCCGCTCTATATACCCCACCTCTTTTCCTGCTAATCTTATTCCTGTACTTTTTAGAGAGTATTCTCTAGTGAATGGATAAAAGAAATAAGTAATAGCAGAAATATAGATAGAAAGAATAAGGAAGAAGAATAAGGTAGCTAGGAATAATAAATAGGTCGTAGGTAGTGAGTATTGTAATCTTTTGTTGATCGGTATTCTATCTCGTCACCCACTTGCCCAGCTTGCCAGGCTTACCCAGCCCCAGGGAAGAACCATCAATTAGCCGCGCAGGCGATAAAAAAGGCAATCCCAACCAGGCTGGAGAATCACATTACCCAAAGGCACCAAATCCAAGCTCAAACATCCCCAGCTCAACCAGTCCTGGGCGTCAGGTACACCGAGCCCGCATTGGTAATCCAAAATCCAATATCCTGCTTTTTATCCTTGACCGAAACCTCCTCCGTCATTCCTACACTACCCACCTCCCCACCTTTTCAGCCCTACGTCGGCTAACCTGACCACTCACCAGAGACATCAGACAGCCCTCTCTCCCCTTCTCCCCTGTAGGTATTCGTCCCAAAAAATTCCAAGACAACGAAACGAAACAAATTCCGCTAGCTTCCTGCACGAAGCCGATTGATTGGGACTAGTCCCTCGACTCTATTGTCCAGGCGAGGCTGACTCTCTGGCAAGGGGGAGGGGAGAGGAACGCGGGGGGGTTTCTTCCTTGTTCAAAGTGTGGTGTACTAGGGTCACGAGTGTAGAACGTATGCATGCCATATTTAGGCAAAGGTGAACAATCGCGAAAATCATCACGTCACAGATTTTCGGTCTCCAACCTCCCTGCGATATTGGCTTGAGATATGTTGTCTTGACAAAGGTCTCGGCCTGGGTAACTTCAGTATCACGGGCGAATACGAAGCTGCCAGACAGATAAGACGCACGAAGAACAGGAAGACCAAAAAGATGTATACACTACTCGAGACATAGACAAAGAAAAGAGATAACGCAAGAAAAGATTTGTATACATCGACTTGGATGGATCACTAGGCAAGACAGCTGCAGCAACAACCTTTTGACGTGCATCATCGGGCCTCCAAGCAAGCAACTTCCCCTTCCTTTCCAAAGCCGCGCAAAGTTCCCCAAATAGCAACACAAAAAAGAAAGAGACCACCCTTGGCCTCGAAAAGCCCCAAAACTCCTCTTCTTAGACAGTCAGCATCTGCTGTCCGCCTCGCCAAGGTAGAATTCGCCTTGGTCACGAGGCAAAGCAAGGTATACATCCCCCAATCCCCGCTCATGAGTCTCCACCACCGACGAATGCAAGACCGATACCGGTGAAGAATGCCGCGGCGACCCAGGCGCCGGAGTAAGCAGTCGCACCGTACGACTCGACGCCGTTGACAGTCATGAAAGTCTGCAGGTAGGTGTTGACACCCGTGACGATCATGGCGACCGCGGTTCGCAGGATGACAACCTTCGCCCGCGTTGTGTAGCCCCAAATGTTCCACGCCAGAGTCTCGCCAAGCGTGGCCGTCGCAGGGTCGAACTCGGCCAGCTTCTCGTCCTCGGAAGTCTCGCCAGTCGCGACAAAGGGCGTGAAGATGAAGGACTTTGCTGCAGCGCCAAACGCAACTGTCACGGGCAACGTAGCTAGGAAGTTGGTGGTGTAGGCGGGTGCAAGGCTCGGCAGCCCCTGGAAGTAGACCACGAGGGTGGTGGGCAGGTAAGTCTTGTAAGCAGTAAACAGGGTGAGGCTGTAAATGGCTGCCGACAGGATAGTGGTGTAGATCTGGATCGGGATGTCGGTGAGAATCTCGCGGTTGGCGACGTTCTTAGCGCCGGCATGCGCGCCCGACAAAGGCCTCAGGAGTTGGAAGGGCAGGAAGGTAGACAGCATCTCAATGCCCAGAGCCGAGATGGCCGTGGCGGTGCTGATGTTGTAGAAGGTAGCGATAAGGTAGACCTAGACGCAAAGTACGTGTTAGCAAAAGCTGCACAGTTGACTGTCCCAAGCCTGGCGTCATCATCATTCCTCGTCGGAGCAGAACGTACCGGCGGACCATGCGCGAGCAGGTTGAGCGCAGCGAGATCGTAGCTATCAAAGTTGCCGAACCAACCTAGGGCGAGCTCAAATCTACACGAGGTCGCGATTGTCAGCAAAGATACCTTTCCATGCCCGGTCCTCGAGCGATCCTCCCAGAAAGATCAACTCTGTGATTCCCAAGGTAACTCACATGCGCCATCCAGCCAAAGTTGCAACCTCGCCCCAGGTGTCCAAGCTCTTTGAGATCCCCGCCAGTTCTCCACGGCTCCACTCGCTGAGGAAACTGTAGCACAGACTTGAGATGCTGAAGCTCAACACCGTGACAAGCGGGAACTGCAGCGCTTTCGGGAGGTGCGATCGCTGCTTCCGCGGGTGCTGGTGGTCGCGATCCCTCTCGCTAATTTGGAGTGCCTGTGTCTCTTTTGCTTCCGCTACCTCTGTCGCGTCGTTGACAACAGCTAGAGCTTCGATCTTGCCGTCAGGCGCGGTATCGAGCCGCTCGAGGTGGCTTGCGATGGGTTCGATCGCGTTGGACGTCGTTTCGTCGACCTCAGGCTCCTCGACGGGGCGCGATGCCTCTCTTCTGCGTCTTAACGTGGGCATCTTGGGTATGCTGTGCTTGCGCGTGTGAGTATTGATTGAAGAGACAACGTGTTATGTTCGTAACAAGAACCTCGAAGTCGGGATTGGCGATGCGCGCTGCAGACGTGAGAGAGGGGTAAAGCGAGAAAAAAGAAGGTAGTGCGGCTGTGGGAGAAATGAGCAGCAGCAGCCGTTTGCGATGTGCGGTTTGCGACACGATGAGATCAACAAGGGCAAAGAGGAAAGAAAATGTGAGACCTGTACGTTTTTTTCCGCCCAGGGCAGCTGCTGTGGATTGTGGACAGTGGCCTACCTTACCTATGATGCCGAGTGGAGAAAGAAGCTGTCCGGACGGGTAAAGGTGACGTCGCTGGGGTAACAGCAGCTCGCGGAAGCTGGTGAGGTAAGCTGTGTGGTCCAACAGTGGACAAAACCCAACCGGAAAGAGCCACCAACGGGTCCTCCTTCTCTCAACTCTCGAGTCCTACTGTGGTCTACCTACCTTCCTTCCCCACACCGCCGGCCACCAAACAACCGCCGCCGTGCCTCAGCAGCCCGCCCAGCGAAGCTGGAAAACTCCACTGTGAGCGGGCTCCTAAGGATAGATATTTTCTACTGGCTCCGTCCATGATCCGTAATTGCAGACTTTTTCCTCCATCGTTTTTTTCTTCCTTCTTTCCCTCTCTTTGTTTTCAATTTTCTCTTTTCGAATCAACTTTCTCCATAATCCCCTTCCGCTCTAGAAATATTTAATACATGCGAACCTCCACCCCCAAAGCTTTCCAAGGTTTGGGAAGGAGGATGCTATCTATACTCTTGTCAAAAATTGGCCTTACCTTATCTTTGCCTCCCCGTCTGCTTTGCTTGGTGTCTGTCTTGTCTGTGTGATCTTCAAAGCTTGATGAGCTCACATGCAAATCTTCGCCTTTCGGGAGCAAAGCTCCGGGTGTGCCTGGTTAAGGTTGCTGCTGGCGTTCCAACACACCAACCACCATCCAGCTTGCCTCGTCACTTCAGCCATCATCGTTGGTAAACATTAGCCACGCTCCAAGCCCAAGTACCTTGTCGCGATCAGTAGTCCTCTTGTTCATCCAGACAAGAGGTCACACAGGTCACCACCGGCGAATATCAACCAGGCTCTTTTTTGAACTTTTTATCTTTTTCATTTCATTTCGTTATGCTGGTTCCATACCGAACACTGAGCGTCGCGGCCAATCTTGGGGCATCGCACTCGTTTGTCTCGTCAGAACCATCAGCTTGACAGTTTTGGGCATTCGCTCGACGCCCTCTCCGTCTCTCACTTTAACCTCGTGGAGTTGCAATCTCGATCCCATCCTATCGACCTGCCTTGCTGGGCCAGATCATGATGCAAGACCGGGCCCTCCACTCCTTGGTGCTGAGAGATCGGCGGCGGAGACAGAACCACCTCATTTACAGGGTTTAGTATATGGTGGTACAAAAGAAACACATCCTTCCCTCACTTTCCCTCTTCGTTATGTACTCATCTCCTCAGATATCGTCGGCATCAATCGTGGAACGGAGTTTCGCTATTCCTCCATACGTCCGAAGACGCCGTCGTCATCTTCGTCGCTTCGAGATCGAGATCGGCGGTCAAAGTCATCATCGTCCATCACGCTGTCGCTGTCTTCCATCTTGACATCGGAGCCGCGGACCTCGCCTCGTGTGAAGCTCTCTGGCTGCCTGCTAGGGAAGCTGTTGAGGAATCCGGCACTGAAACCTGCGCTGAACCCAGCACTCGAGAAAGATGCCGCCTGGTCGAGATATTGCGCCGGTAGCGGGGGCACAGGAGGAGCGTCCGCTGGAAGTTGCACTGTTCTTCCGTTGTTGCTGTTGAAGCTGCAACTAAGAAGCTCCACAGCCGCTGCCAGATCCTGATCTTCTTGTCCGGTGGCATTTCTTCCTGACGACGGCGGTCGTTGGTCCTGGCTGGTTTGACGAAAGTGTGAAGAAAATCCTGTTCCACGTGGCATGCTGCCTGTCACGAGAGGGTTGATGGACGGCGCAGACTGGTATGAACGACCGAATCCACTTCCGGACCCGTACCGCTTCGCGAACGAACGATCCGACGACGAGAATCCCTCCAATTGAGGAGGTGGGGTGGTATCGGCAGAGCTGTGTCGCTCGTCTGAATATCCAGAAGCAGCGGGAGAAGTCGACTCTTCTTGGTCACTAGGGAAATCCTTGGCGGAATCCGGGGGCGTCGCCGCATCACCCTCTTCCTTGTGGTTCATGGTCAACAAGACAGAGGCAGCCTCAAGGAGCTGGACTTGCTGATGCTTGGAAATAAGCAGCTTGGATGTCAGAGACCATTCGGGAGTGTGTTCCCACCTGATCAGAAATGAGTCAACAGACTGCTCGACTAGTCCTGATGTTGGAAACGCGGCATGCAAGTCTCGAAACCCACGCGACAATATTTGGGACGGAATGAGGGAATTGGGGAAGGGGAAGGGGAAGGGAAACGAACAAATGCTTGGTCAGGCAACTGCTGTGCTTGTATCCCTTTCCGCACGTCTCGCACTTGAGCTCGATGCGGTTGAACTTCCTGCCCTCCTTTACGAGAGGCTGACCATCGCTGGCGCGACGAATACGAGCCTTTTGAGCATTATCATCGCCTTCGTCGGCTGACCCGATGACTGGGTCATCCTCAATAGCGCTCTCGTGGATCTCTGTCTTTCCATCCAAGTGGAATTTGTGCGTCGGCAGACTCGCTGGGGGCGAGGGAAGACTCCCGATGATGGCGGCGCGGGCTGCAGCACTCTTTGAGGCAGTGTTCCTACGAGAGCTGACGGCAATGGGCGTGACTTTGTCGCCGCCCACTTCCTTGATTGCCGCTGCCATGGCCGCCGCGTTTGCGGCGGTGTTTGTCATGGACTTGCGGCGAGTCACACGGTGGTTGGCATTGAGAGCGCCGCTGAGGATGGAATGGGAGTTGGTGCGAGAGTGGGATTGTCGTGTGGTAAGCCCGGAAGAGGAAGCAGTTGATAGAGAGGGACGGTGTTGGTTCAATGGCCTTGTGGTCTGCTGCATTTCCTGAATGAGGACGAAGTGATCAGCAAGCAAGACTGGGTTGAGATGCGTGTCGGGAGCGAGCTAAGCAGGGCAGGGCATGGGTTGGAATCCCGGTTCCGGGCATACCTTTGAAGAGGCCATTGCCAACTACCGATGCTAAACAGGTTCGACAACGAGTGTCGAACACTTTGTCCCTGGCTGGAGTATTGTGAAAGTGAAGTGATTCGTAGACGCGGCGGTATCGTGTGTTGTTGTTCGAAGGTGGTAGGCAGATGGGCAGGTAGAAAGTGAGTCGCAAAGACAAGCCTCCGGGCGAGAAATAATATTATTTTGGGGAGGAGCAGCAATTGGGCAGGGGTGTGTCTGTGGGCGGGTGTACCTAGTAGCTCCGAGCTGGACCAGCCGACAGCATGTGGTGAGTGTGGTGGTGGTGGTGTTGAACGGTCAGGATGCCTTGGGGTTAGTCGACTGATGATCAACAGGGCTGTCGAGGTCCAGGCCGGATTCAACTCTTTTTCTCTGTCTTTACCCTTCCGCTTGAATGCTGTGCTTTGAATCGAGGTGTAGCTGAAGTGAGAGAGAAAAAGTTGTGGGCTCGAGACAGAGTACGTTTGGGAGAGGACCCAAAAAGTCCAGCAATGGGCGAAACAGTCCAGACGGCCCTTTCCAACAAGTTGCCAGAAAGAAATGGAAGAGAAGCGCTGGTCGGGGACGAGCATCAGCCTTCATTGGTCGTATTGCACCACCAGGTCGCTAGGATGAAGGAGCCAGAAGGAGGAGGGAGGGGAGGGGCAGAAGACCGTACCGCAGCAGGAGGACCAGACTCACTCACGACACTCCCCCTCACACCTTGAACTCGCAGAGAGCGACGACGCTGGGCGGGAAAGAAGGAGAAAGCGGCAGAGGAGAGAGAGAGAAAGAAGAGAGGATGGGTGGGGCTGGGTGTGTGCTGAGAGAGAAAGGGGGTGTAGACTTGGGCGTTGGAAGTGAGGGTGAGGTGCGCGGCTGGGTTCATGGACGAGGGAAGGGGACTGACTGGCTGGCCCTCTCTCTCTCTCTCCGCGTCTCTCTCCTTCTTTCTCTCTGCATCGCCGTCTCTGCTGTAGGTATCTTTCCACCTCCACTCCTTTCTTGTCCCCTTTCCCCGTGTCCCACAGTGTGCAACCGGGCCAAGGCACGCTGGCATGTACCTCTCAGGTGGTGGGAGGTGCAAGTGGACATGACCGTGAGCGCAGCGGACGGGCGCCAGGAACAAGGAGCATAGAGCATGGCCCGTGGTCGTCCTTTGGCAATGGGCGAGCGATGGTCGGCCTCCCGAGCGATGGACGTGTCCGTAAGGCGCCGGTGCGGCGGGGAAAGGTCACTGGGGGAGGGGTGAACGGAGCCCATGGATCCATCCCAGTAACCCATAACCCTCGTCCTTCGTCCCAGAGCCCAGACCCATTGATGGCCAGGGCCGATAGCGTGCTTGAGTTGCACATCGTAAATAGCAATTTTATGTATGGCACTTTTATTCTCGACTCTCGGAGTGCTCGCAGATGTCGCCGCCGCTCGTCGGTTGTTCACGATGCTCTCTGAACTTGGATGATCCGGATCCTTGAAATAAGCGCGGATATGACGATATACGGTGGATGTGTGTGTGATATGGGAGTAATTCTGCCCTAGGATCTATGCCAAACGACTAAGCCAACAAGAGAGACGCTCAAAGAAACGCGGCCTTTGTTGGTAAACGCCTCGCCCGTACACCAACACAGGTGGACTCGTGCCTTGGTCCCTAGCTAGACCAGGGTGGCTTAGTTTGGCTCGAGTGCCTAATTATTTCTCTGATTGTCTGGTTCCCTTGATCCCGTACGGATACTTCGCAGTCGTCTGAAGACTTGTCGGGACCTTGCTAGTCTGGTGACCGCCAAATCTTTTTTTATTTTTATTTTTTCTGCTTCTCTCCTTCTTGGGGTCTTCTGTTCGCGAGGTAACGATGTGGAATGATTGAGACAACAGGCAGGCTCCAATGAGTTGTAAAGAATGTCGTGTCTTGGTCGGAAGCGAGAGGCCTATCGACCGCAAGTGGCATGTTTCGGCGGACTGCCAGGTTCAGCGTTGGGTCGCACCCCACGACGGCTCTGCTCCCCTAACGTGGTGGCTCCATAGGCGGGAGGACAGGCGACTGCTCCCGGGCCATAGAGCTGGAGGCTGGAGCAGTGAGCATCAGGTTGGGGCGTTGGGGCATAGGGCGGAGAGAGAGAGAGCATTGGCCGCGTCTGGTCTCGTTTAACTGGAGAAGGTGGTTTCCATCGGATCAGGAACGGAAGTTCGCACGCGGGGGAGAAGGCAGTAGCTTTGCATTGCTCCTATGCCAGGTCATGCCAAAGTTGTGTTGTGCGAGCTTCAAGGTTGTGAGCTGTGTGAGCTGTGCGCAATGCGCTGTGCGTTGGTCGAATGAGCGAGACAGTGAGGGGGTTGTCAACGGCAGAAACCCAACCTTGGGAAGCACTGCGCGAGAACCTTAGTACATGATACTCCGTAGGTAGTGAGTGTCTATGGTAAGCTGCAAAAGTGGGAAGAAGCAAGGAGGCAAGGTACGGAGTAGGCATTGCGCAAAAAGGCATGGGAAAGATGTCTTATTGAAACTCGGGTGGATGCCTCCTAGTGTTTCTACAATTGCCGACCTGTGTGCCTTGGCTTTGATTTGGCACTTTGGTTCGAGTACTCTGTCCTTCACAATCGTTGTTTCGTGTTCTTCTTTCTTCGAAAAAGGCGACGTTATCGTAAACCTGTGGTTTCTTGATTGGATCTGCATGGCTACCGGTAGTCGGCTCAGAGAACGCGAGGAGCAAGGAACCTCGAGTGTTAGCAAGTACAGATACAAGAGATACGGGAAAAGAAATGATGAAGAATCCAAAATAAAGAAAATCCCCGATGGACGGTTCTGCTGATCGTTGATCACACGGAAGCCAAGCAAGGAGACAGCTCTTCGACGGCGTTGTTGGGTTGACAAGTCGTTGGGTGCGAGGCAGGTACGAAGGCCCCTCATGTTGGTGCTGGGAAACAACGCAGGTACACAGTGCAGGCCCGGCAAGCGGTACCTTAGGTAAGCGCCATCCAATCCCCGGGCAAGGCAAGGTACGTCTCTCCATATACTCCTCGGACAGTGATAAGTCGTCGCACACTGTCTGACTGTCTGCACAATTCGGTGACAAATACACAGTGGGGACAGTGCCCTGGTCAGTCACGTTCCTGGGGAAGTCCCAATCCACCCGTATCTCAACCAGTGACGTAGTTTGCTCGAGCGCGGACCAAACATGAGTTCAATTCTTTGTCAACTCAGGGGCAACAGCTGCGGCTTCAATCCGTAGAAGTAGGTACGTAAAGGGCCACGGCCAAAGCAGATGGGAAACGACAGGCAGAACATCGGACAAACAAAGCCCTACACCGTGTGCCGTTCAAGCTCTCGTGTCCGTTTTGGAGACGTGCTACAACCATCAACGGGTTGCGACGATGGAGAGCCACCACCAGTCCACCACCACCACTACGGTCTACCGTACTTTACCACACACAGTAAGTTGACGATAACACCACCCCCATCCCTTGTCCACTCCTCCCTTCTCCCTCTCGCACTCCTTGTCTTTCTCATCCTCTTTCATCTTGCTCCACACTAACCAGACACCCCAGCGAAACGTCCTCCCAATCATCCGCGCCAGAGCCGGACATCACAACCACACGCCTGGGGCTTCCCCACCACCAGCTCACCTCCTCCACCACCTTCTGACCAGATACAGGCCCCTCCTAGTGACCACTAATCACAGGACTTGTTCGCTGAGACGGTCGGTCTGCCTGGCCTGAAGTTGACTGAGGCGGCATTGGAGCAACGCGAACCCGATCAAACAGCTTTCCTTTCCGGCCCGGCCTACTACACTGTCCTCAGTACGGAAACAGCAGTTCACCCCTTCGCCGTCGGCTGTCTCTTAACAGCACTCGTGCTCTCCAGAACTTCCGCTGACCGGCAATCCGCTGGAGTCTGATAGAGTCCAGCTGTTGGCCAGGATATCGGTCAGACGGTCAGTCCTGGGTCCGGTCTCGTCTCCGTCTCCCTCACGCCGTGCTAGGGGGCCGCCATTGCCATTCGGGACGGTCAGCTGGCCCCCTCCCCTCCTCCATCGGGCGCCATGCGGGCTTCTGCTCTGGGCAAGTCGGGTGGATTCTCGTGCCTCTGGCGGAACGTCGTCCACCCCGTCATTATTGCGCTCCCCGACGCAGACCGTCGCTTATGCTGCCTACTCTTGCCTCTGACCGGCCACAATCAGAATGGGATGCTTTTGCCACTTGACACTATTGTTTCCCGGATGCCATCGCTCAGCCTGGGCATTGGTAACGCAGTCCCAAGATCGTCAGCAGAGATGTCCTCCAACATCAATCTACTCGCCAATGTCCGGAGATGGCCAAGCCACGCCGCACGCGAGAAAGACACACGCACGCTCTGCCCGAATCTTGGATACAGCCAACCTCGCCTTCATAGGCATTACCTAAGTTCACTATGCAACTAGGGCGTCACTGGGCGCAGCGGTTCAAGTCCAGGCCTGGGTGACCAGAGTTTCAGTCACCGAAAGTGACGCTTTGAACGCATGCAAATGTCTCCTCGGTTTCTGCCGTTGGTACCTATGTCTCCGGTGTTTCCCCAACGTCGACGAGCCGCTCTTGTCTCAGGAAAAAGAAACCACAAAACTGTCCTTGTGGCATCGACTTGGGACTCTGGGATCTCCCGTAACGCCAGCAGGCTTGACGTCTTTAGGCCAGCCTCCCGCCTATGCTTCACATCTTGATTCTTTGACAGTCTCAACCCCTTCACCGGTATCCACGCCCGCTACCATTGGAGGTGGCTAACTGAACCAAAGGAACTGCAACCAGTGTCTAGGAGATTAGAAAGCACAACTAGTGAGACTCGACTATCTTGAATTGGACGTCACTGAAAGCTGGCTTTGGCCGGTGCTAAATTACTTTGGAAATCAACTCTCAGAAGCAACAGGCGCAAGCTTGCCTCTAGCAAGGCTCTCGGAAGCGCTAGCCGTATTGTCGTTGCGCTGAGAGAAATCGAGATGGAAGAAACATTGTTCAACGGCCCAACCAATTATCGACGACAGCTAGCAATGCTGTGTAACACATGCAAAATGGTTTCTACATAGACTGAGTAGGCATGATCTCCATATTCTACAACAGACACAGTATGGGGATGCCTTGTTGGCCGCCGACTGAAGAGGGCAATTGTTCATGGTCGCATTTCGAGGTCGACTTCATCCGCGTCTGATTAACGCAAGAACCACGTTGGCATCAGCTCGTCGTGCCCTATACCCATGATCTGTGATCGACAAAGGGTTCCCACAAGACGACCAGGTACGACTAAGCATTCTCCCAACATTGTCCCTCGACAAATCATAGTATTCAAGCGCATCGGCGCACACTCCGACTACTCCGTATTTTTTTTCAGACTCTGAAGCTGGTTTGCGCAAAACAAAAGCACACTAAGGGCAACACCCCAATGGCAACTCCACCGCGAAACTGTCAACGTGTTGTCGATCGCCAACTTTATCACACTTCGGCCTCTCACTGTTACAGGGCTGTCCTAGCACATCGAGCGGGTTGAAAGGGAGCCACCGGGCCAAATCGTCGATTGCTCCCAAAACTTCATCAGCACGGCAGTAGGGCAGTCGAGACAAGTGTGCCAGGGTCCTGCCCTGTTCCATTGCAGCTGCACCCCTCACTCTCTGAGCAGTGCCATGCCATCCCGAAGCTGGTTTCTCCATGCATAAAAGCTCTCCCATCGAGGCAACAACCCCCGCCGATCGTCGCCGGCCGCACAATTTCACAAAACGGTTGTGCCGGCGGACTCTCTGTAAAGGCGCAGCCCTGCACGCGAGGGAGATAAGGTTTACCAGGTGAGGTGACAGCTTCGCGGCCGACCTCGCGCCTTGAGAGAGAGTCGAGACACGGAACAAGCAGATGCCTGTTCCCACGGGTCATAGGACTGAGCGTTAAAAAAAAAAAGAGAGAAAAAAAGGACAGAGTTGCGCTGCGCCCCGTCTTACTGTCTTACGTGAGTATGGGAATTCGCCTTTTTTCCTATCTTTCCACCAAGATACGGATGCCTGGGATTTATCACCTCAGCTCCTCTCGGAAACGGTCCAGCATGGTATCTGCTACGTTGTCATCCCCGCGCGCTGTCACGACGAGAACAGAAGAACAGCGGAGACACCTGTGGATGCCACTTTCACAAACGGACTAGGTTGATCAACGCGTCTGGCCAACTCGCCCCTCTTGCCGCAGCTGCACATCACCCCCTCCAGTCTCCGTCGGATGCGTGTCGCTATCAAAAACCCTGTCTACGAGAGTGGATACCACACAGGTACACTTTCGTACTGTCATGTATCTTTCTCTGAGATAGAAATGGGGGCCTCTTCACCTATCATTGGAAAGACGTGTGAGAGACGCCCACGGCATCCCCAGGCAAAGCGTTCGTGGTTTTGCTTTTACCAGTCCGATTTCCAGCGTACCTGCGTCAGCAAAGGCATTCCACGTGGGATGATGCTATTCACTTATGTTGGACCTCTTTTCTCTATGTATTAATAGAGAAGCGCCGAACCGTAGGGAAGGTTCATCGGGGATCGGGAGAAAGTTTTTGGTGCTACCACTCCCGTGCGTTCCGCTCCCCCTTCACACAAAGAGACTGGAGAGAGGGGGGGTTGGACCCTTGGACTGGCTAAGGTGGTAGAGCTCATCGCGAGAGCTGCAATGGGAAAGTCTCGCAGCAGCCACCTTTCGGGAATAGCTGACAGCTTGGGATCTCGCAGAGCACTTCTCTCAGTCCCGACGATGAAAATGCGCCAAAGAGATCTTTGCAAGGCACTGCTATTGTTGAAGACTTAACGAAGTCATGTATCCTGGCCGACGTACCTGTCGATCTCTCGCTCAACCTGTCCGAAGCCGAGCAGAATTATCCCTTGACAGCAGCACATGGAAGATCCAGGATCAATGAATGGCATTTCATGTCCGGATGCAGCGATCGACAAGCGAGTGCTGCGTTGCGTGAGCTGTCTTTGGCCTTGTTGAGCCGCACGCGTATTGTCCCGAGGGGGAAATATACTGCCATAAAGGGAGCCATACGAGAAACATAAAAGCTATTCCCTGAAGACTCGGGGCAACCGGCGCTCAGCAACCCTGTGTTCAGGAATGTCTGTTGTCGATAAACTGGAATGATTTCCCGTCTCTCGGAAGCCCGACTGCGTACACTTGATAAAGTGGCCCATCCCACGCAGCGTTTGATTAACCCCGCGGCGCCACACTATGCAAGTGGCTAGCCGATAGGGATTGCCAATTACACCAAAACTGAACGTCACTTTTTCTTGTTGAACCATTTGCCCAGAGATACCAGGCAGCATTTTTTGGATCTCTGTACCGCATTTTTATCTTGTTCATTACACATTTTCGACTGTTTCGTATCCCTTCTTTTGCGGTAGTCGTTTCCCAGATTGCTCCGAACTTTCTGTAGTATCCCGCCAGACCCAGTCGCATCGTAGTCCCATTTCGCCCGCAGCACCAAGCTCGAGGATCCCCCGTCGCAACGACCATGTCCGATGTATTCCGTAAAGTAGGGAGGGGAGGCTCAGGGAACTTCTTCTCAAAGAAGGACGTGGACGATGCTGAAAAGGCCAAGCCAGAGGTAACACGCGAGACGGTCTGTCCTTCAAGAGCAATTCGTAGCTAACCCAAAATGATCCACGGCAAACAGGACATTGAGGCACAAAAGTCGACCGACGTCGCCGCTTCCTCGACATCACCGACCTCGACCGGCTACGTGCGCGCGGGACGAGGAGGATCGGGCAACTACGTGGACCCGACTTCTCTCCCCGGCACCAAGCAGCAAGAGGAGCTCGCGAGCAAGACACAGGCGGCCGTGAATGCCAGCATTGCGCGATCGGCGGCGAGGGGTGCTTCTGGCCGCGGCGGCGCCGGCAATTATACGGGAGGCGTTGTGCCTGGCGCCGAGGCGAGCGAGGAGGAGGAGGTGAAGCGCAAGGAGGCGCTCGAGAAGAAGATTATCGAGGACGTCGAGGCCGGCTTGCCCATGCCGCCCAAGGCTTTTCACCATACTACCAAGAAGGAGGAAGAGGGTGCTTGAAGGGCATGGCATCCCCCAAGCGGTGTGTACGTTGCCGGTGATGGGATTGCGGGATACCTGGAGTTAGGGTGGTTTCGTTTGTACAACACTTGAGAAGCATTGATACCCGCGACGCTCGTCTTGGGCGATTTCACTTGCAATTCTTGAGAGCATGTAGGAGATTTGACAGCTTGTAAGCTTGGATTCGCCATGTCTATTTCGCTTACTCCTTTGTTCTGAGAAAGGGGGATGCGACAATGTGATGGCACGCATTTCTGTTAGCATGCCGCTATTCACTCTAGACAGTGTCGAGTAGCCTCGAGATCGTGGAGCACATCCGGATGGCTATACCAGACAACACAGGCTGAGAGGATACGGCATCGCATCCACAAGACGGGAGGAAAGGTGGCGGCTGAGATGACGGAGGAACCGATCTGAATCAATCTGGACCTTGAATAACTTTTTGTGGTATTCCTTCTCAGAGCCACCAAACGCCGTCGATGCTAAATAGCCCTTTTGTATCCCTGAACGCCCGTGTATAAAAACAAAGCCCCCCAAAGCCAACTCTTGTCTCTGCTGAAGGAGAGCGGAGAGAAGAGAGAGGCCCATTCTTCGATTCGATTAGCATTTTGTCTTTCTTTCTCCTCATCCGGGTGGTTGGCTTTTTTTTCTCCATCTTCTCCTATCCCTCGATGGGATGGGGGATCACCCTCCTCCTTTCGGTCGGTTCGTTAAAAAAAAAGACGTGACAAGAACGTCCCTCATCGTCGTCGTCGTCACGCTCAATCCTCCATATCGACATCGCCATCCTCGTCATCGTCGTCCTCCTCCGCATCCTCGTCGTCCCACTCGCCGTCGTCCTCCTGCATGACGCCGCCCTCGCGCTCCTCGACAACGTCGCCGTCGACAGTGACCCGCTGGCGAATCTTCTCGCGACCGAACACCTTGCCGGCCTTGCTCTTGGCCAGGCGTCCCTCGGCCTCGAGCGCGGCAATCTCCTCCTCGGTGGCGCCCTCGGCGGCGAGCCTCTTCTTCTCGGAGCCGCGCATGCGGGGCAGCAGGTGCTCGTTCTCGGCGACGAGCTTGCGCGCGGCGGCGATCTCGCGCTCGCGCTTGCCTTGCATGCGCTTCTTGTAGAAGACGCGCTCGCGGCGGGAGCGGATCTCGGAGACGCGCTCCATGGCCTTGAGCGTCTTGGCGACGAGGTCGCGGTCGTAGCGGACGGGGACGTTGCGCCGCGCGCCGAACTGGAGGGTGCTGTCGACCGTCATCTCCTTGTGCGCCGAGGCGCGGTAGGCCTTTGTCCACTTGAGCTTGCGGGGGTTGCGCTTCATCTTGAACTGTGGTGCCAAGGGGCGGTTAGTCCATTGGTCGAGGAGAAGGGGGGGATTGGGTTCTTCGCAAGAGTCGTTGAAGATGATTTAGAGACGTACGTTCTTGTGGCACTTGCTGCGGCAGAAGCGGAACACCTTGGAGTCATTGCGGACGAAGGTGATGCCCTTACTGGGGTAGGCAGGGCGACTGCAAAAGTAGCATGTCTCGATTCTAAAAGCATCATGAAGTTAGAAATCTTGCAAATACGAATGAAGTGAAGAATAAACCATGGGTCAATGGTTGACTTGTATGACAATGGGTAAATAAATAAGAGCATACCTCATTGTGACGGCGTTGATACCTTCACGGGTATCACGTTAGTAGTCACACGGTCGTTGGGTTGTTGGTGTTGGTTTCGACGACTCTTCCAAACACACACACGGGGAGGGTTCAGAAGGCGGTGATCGAGACCTCGACCTCCAAAAGTTTTTTAGAAATTTTTCTTCTGCCGCTCCGAGGCACCGCTTATCGATTGTGGTGGGGCGGGGGGAACTGAGGTGGTTTTTCGCTACGATAAGATTGCAGCGGGATCGGTGGAATCCAGGGGTCTGCTGACATAATGCAAACGAAGCTTCCATTCAACTGAACCTGTCGGAACGGTCCAACAGGTCTTCCGAAAAACGGCTCAGCACGGACCAAGACCGGCGCATCACGGCTTGCTCTGTGAGCGGCGGCGACTGCAGCCCAAAAAAAAAGCTCTCCTCCGACCCCGAAGACCTTCTTCGCGATACCCCATCCGCTTTTTTCCGCAGTCATCCACCACCTTCCGACGACGTATCGACGAAACACGAAACAAAACTTTAGCGGTCATGGCTTCTGTTCTTGCTATCGGAGGCGGCGCTGCCGTCGCAGCTTTCTTGGTACGATAGAAACAAAGCGCATTCAAGAAGGACCACGACTAACAAAAGTGTTCCTACAGGGCCGAGCTGGTCTGGTCGCATGGCGCCGATCACGCGGCGGCGTCGGCGCGATGGGCAAGGCTTTCTACAAGGGCGGCTTCGAGCCCAAGATGAACAAGAAGGAGGCTTGCCTCATTCTCTCCCTCCAGTAAGTCGACGAAATCCCCGAAGCACGGTAACCTGGCGAAATACCTGGGAAGACGATGTCAAACTGGAAATATCGGAAAGAGACAACATCTAACATGATGCGTTCTTAGGGAGAGCGGCGTCACTCGTGACAAGATCCGCAAGCAGCACCGCACCCTGATGCTCCTGAACCACCCCGATCGCGGCGGTAGCCCGTACCTCGCAACCAAGGTCAACGAGGCCAAGGAACTGCTCGAGAAGACGACGTCTTGACATTAGCCGTAATCATCTCGCCATCTGGAAATCTGGAAATCTGGAAATGTAACAACAAGCACGAAAAAGACATACGAACGCAAAACAAGATACCATGGGACCAACGGACGGACGGATGGGCCCCGCCCTTGCCTACTCAACTCCGAATCCGGGTGACTGCATGGTTTTGTAATAATAGATTGGTCGTTCTTCATAGCGGTGGCGTTTTATGGGCGACGACATGGATCTCCTCAGAGGGGTTCTAAAAAAGAGGGGGTTCGCGTATGACTGGGCTGGGATGGTCTGGTCTTTTGGTATCGGGACCTGTTGTAACAACATGTTTAATGGCATGAGACCCTCTCGTCTCTCTTCTCTCCCATCTACCTTCTTAAACCATCGAATCTGCCTTCATTCTGTGCTCTATATATGAACGAGCGCCTTTGGAAGCATAAGAACAGGTTGGAAGGGAAAGCAAGCTGGTGGGCGTTGATGCTCAGTACCTGTACGTTGTGTGGAGATGCCCCCAGCCAACCTAAGGTAGAGTGGATTGATTCGGGCTGTTTACCTTAATCTGGATGTGTACAAGAATGCTTTTACTGGGGAAAGTTTGGACATTAGGATGCTGCTTGCGTTAATACGATGAGTTATCTGGTGCTGAGATCGGTTTGTTGGGCCGCGGCTGTTGTGTAAGAAGTGTTTGGATAACTTCAGTCTGATCCAGTTGCGAAGCAATTTTCGACCTTGATTGTATTAATGCATACATCAGCAGCCAAAGCCAGACAATTGGGATGTTTTCATCCGTTTGCCGTTAGCTATTCCCACCACTTCAAGCTACCTATCTTACGGCTTGATGACTGAAGCTTTTGACCTCGCAAACGCTCGGATTTCGACTTACATACTTGTGCGGAAAAGTTTGGAAGCGTCCCCCTAAGGGTGCTTCGACTTGTCCAGCCTGCCTAGGATGTTATTGAAGCTTTGTTTCCTCTTGCAGCCTACTTGTTCGCTGTAACTAGACTCAATGTACGTTCTCGGATCTGTCCGCGAAGTCTGATCATCTCACTCATTCCCTAGCTGAGAGCAATGCTAGAGAAATGGAGCCGTTGCTGCTCGCAAGTGCTTTCTGGAAGCGTCTTTCTCCAGAATATCGGTGCTGTTCTTTACTCGATTTTCCTCAATTACCAACTACTTACGACTTGTCAAAGATGTATACTGCAGTAGCGAAGTGACTTCAAAGACTCCTCTTTCCCCTCAATACCCGTTAAAGAAGGCTGTACATCTTGATTGAATGCCACCAGAGTTATCATTATTCTGAATCGCACTATTCTATAAGACTCGGAATCTTATCAAGTAGCTGCCGCCGCTAACGTAGGCTACTGAGGGCATGAAAGAATTTACATGTTCGTGTTCATAGCGACAGAACTTGAATAAGTCCGGCAATGTACTTTTGAGAGAGCTTTGTCACTGTGATCTCTATGATTTACCTCAGTTTACTCTCTTTGCAGTATTCACAATCTCCTAAGGCTGGATTTATCAGTATTATCGCACATTCCGCCTCACTATTCTACTCATCTTGGTTGTTCCATCGTCTAGCTGAGTATTCCACCTCTTGAAGTACCGGTAGGGAAGGCACCTTATCTAACTGCCCCTTTCTCTTTCTCTTTGATCCACAAGCCTTCTACCTTTTAAAGGACGTCCGTACTCAGAGATCTTCCTTTCTACTTCTACCAAGTTCAACTCAGCTTCGTTAGGCCAACCATCACCAGTCAACTACACATCCATGAGGTCTCACTCATACGTACTCAATTGAAGCAAACGGCTTCTTTTTGGCCGATTCAGACACTTTGTTTCGTCTTTCGAAATTCCATCTTCCACTCACCTTGCGCATTCACACACTCTAGTATTCTCTACACTTTCCGCACGCTCACTCCACAATGGCCGTCACCCAAGCTGAGCAGCTTGAGCGTCTGTTCGGAGCCTTTGGCGACGAAATATTCTTCGAGGAAGGCACTTCTCAAGAAGTGGAAGATACCCTAGAGGAAATTGTTCTGGACCCTCTCCTTCTCGATCGTCAAATTGCAGCCAGGAAAGCAGCAATCCAGGGAAAATCTATCACCAAGCCAGTCGAGAAGAAAACTCCCCACTACATCGGACCGCCTCTCGAGCCTTCCAAGTCTGAGAAGTTAGCTCCTGCGGATTTCAACGCCCTAATGAAGCAAGACTTTCCCGAGTTCAAGGGGATGAAGGCGGGCGACCTCTCGGCGGAGAACATGACCTTCGTCTCTTGGGACGTCGTCCAGAGATACCCTCTCAGCTTCATCGGCAAGACCAATCGACCGAAGGTGAGCGATCGCCCTAGGTAGAATCGGCTCATTTCCTAGCTGACGCCGAATACAGGCAACTCCCTTCTTTGATGATATTACCGAGGAGCACACTTGGGACTTGTGAGTAGCCAACGAGGCTTTTTCCATACGAGAGAAATTGACTCCTTTCTAGCTTTTACCTCTACCACCCCAAGGCCTTGGATCAGTCGCCCTACATCTTCGTTCCGACCATTCAGTTCCAGCACTTCCTGGACATCGTTAATGCCTCGATTCAGACGAAGCTGACCATCCCTGCTGGTAAGCCAGGCGAGATGTTCTACCTCGTGTTCGGCTCCAGCTGCACCATTCGGCCCAAGTACATTGCCCGCTCCGCCTCGCACAACGAGTACCTCGCCCTGCACGACGCGGTTCCGCCTCCCGAGGACGACGACGCGTGTGACGATGCCACTGTCTTTGGAATGGAGACGCTCATGAAGCTGCTCAATATGCACGCCAACTTCAAGGATATCAAGACCAAGAGCAAGAAGAAGAAGCAGAACAAGGCGCTGAACCGGGCCGAGTCCCTCTACGATGCGCAACTGTACCTCGGCCTTCGGCCCAAGGCTAGCGACGTCGATGAGAAGAACAAGAAGGTCGAGCTGGAAAAGCCGGTTCCCCATGCGCTGGAGCAGAATGTGGTCTTTGTGTGCATCGACATTGAGGTCGCTGAGGAGCACCACGGAACCGTATTGGAGATTGGCATCTCGACCCTGGACACCAATGACCTCGTTGGCGTTCCGCCTGGCGAGAGTGGCCGCAACTGGGTTCCGTTTATCAAGAACCGCCATCTCGTGACCTACGAATACCGTCACATCCGCAACCGCAAATACCTCAAGGGTTGTCCTGAGCTCTTCAACTTTGGGTAAGCCATGCACTATCACCGTCTCAGAAGAATCACAGACTGACCATACACAGCGAGAGCGAGTACCCCAAGCTCAGCGAGCTCCCCGACAAGGTCTGCACCGCTATCAGCGACCTCTCCTTCGCCAACAAAGAGGACGCCGCCGACAAAGACAAACGCCCCCGCACCATCGTCCTCCTCGGCCACGACCTCGGAGCCGATCTCGGATACCTGGACAAGATGGGAGTGGAGCTCTGGGGAATCAGCGGCGTCGCGAGCCGTACTCTCGACTCCAAGGACATGCACCAGGCCTGGCGCGGCGAGTCGCAGGGCCGCAGCTTGGGTATGGTGCTGACTGACCTGGGCGTCGAGCACAGCAATCTCCACAATGCGGGCAACGATGCGGCGTATACCATGCAGGCAATGCTTGGCGTCGCTGTCAGAGAGAGAGTTGACAAAGACCAGGAGAAAGGTGTGGAGAAGGTTGAGGCGAAGTGAGGTTGCTTGGACCGGCATGTAGAGGAGCATTCTCCTTCTACGCATTCACACAAGCACGCTTGGAAGATGGATAGATAGTTAGGCGTGCACAGGAATTGCGTGCACGGGAATCCGTCCGTTGCTCATTCAGGGCTTACAAGAGATCCGCCGTAGACTATCATGATTTTCCCAACGCCCGCTGTGATTTGACCTCATCACTCATTTTGACTTTAGAAACTGCAATTGGGGTTAGTAAAACGGATCACTCAGAAAACATCAAACCATGATAGAGAGATAGAACGAACCTCATCAGCCTCTTCGCTCTTGACATTCGAAACCTCAGACGTCCCCTGATCAATCAACCCCAATCTCGACGTCCTCACCCGCCACCACATCTCCCTCCGATCCCCGCCCAGCTCGCCCGAGAGCATCTTCTTCTTCAGGTCCCTGATTAAGTCATTATACACGCCCGGCTCCTCGAGCTCGACGAGCCCGCGGCGGAGGACGCTCAGGTTCTCGGACGCGCGTGCGTAGTTGTTGTCGCCGAAGCTGTCCGTCACGAGCTGCGCGACGACGGCGGCCATCTGCTTTGCGGCGTCGCGGATCTCGGACTCGTCTTCCGCGGTGGCGAGGGCGCGCTTGAGGTCCGGAATGGCGTTTTCGGGGGTAATTTTGGGGCGTTTTGAGGCGGATTTGGACGTCGTTCCTAGGAGGGCGTCGACGTCTAGGCCTGAAAGGGGTTTTGCGGCTTCGAATTTGCGTTTTCCCTTTGCTTTGGGGGGAACTACCGTGGATGTCAGCGGGATGAGGAAGGAAAGGAGAGAGGGGAGGCGAGGGCGGAAAGCAAAGGGGTTGGTTTTTACCTTTCTTCACTTGTGCTGCTGAGATGAGACCCTCGATTTGGGATTTTGATTTCTCGACTAGTTCTTCTGGAGGCGCGGCGTAGCGCACTAGAATGGGAGGAATTGGATCAATCTGGCCTTCCGGGTTGACTGCCCTTTGGCGGATGGCTTGGTTGATTCTGTGGATAATTGGGTTGTACGTGTCGTCTATGGCAGCATACTCTGACGGGTTTCTTGATTGTAGGACGTCAGTAGAGGGTTGGAATGGAGATTGAATGTTATGAAGTGAACATACCCATCGTCATCAGTAACAAAAGTACCCAGATCCATAGAATCGACGTAGTCGCTCATGGCATCTGTGAGCTCATCGCCGGGCAGCAAGCGGTGATTTGTCGTGATCTTCTGCCCGCTGACGGTGATGACCTTATCGAGTGGCGGGAACTGGTACCCCCGAACATCCTCCGCAAAGGGGAGGGGTACGTCATAGAGGCACTCCATGTC